CACGGGTGCGCACCTAGTCCCTAAATCCTTCAAGTAACCCCCCCCCCCTCGTTACTGCTATGTGAGCCACATTATATTCCCTTTTTTGGTGTCGTCCGCAATATTTTAGGCCATTCAGTTTAGGTAGTTCATTTTATTTTGGGGACATTCAGTCTAGGTAGCTTAACCCGCGCCCGGCTGGGGGTCCTGGATTTCCACGCCCTGCAGGGGGGGTGTTTGAACACCCCCCCCCCCCTTGTAACTCGGCTCCTGGGCCACGTAGCGATACGCGGAAGGCGGCGTTCGAAAGAGCGTCAAAAATAATGACGAAATCACTTCGGTCAATTTTTTGGTCAGGTCAAAGGTCAGGTCACCAGAGGTCATTGAAGGCAAAATTTCGCCGATTTCCAGGTCGAATATCGAAAATTTCCAAGAAGCCAACGCATAACTCGGGAACCAATAGAGCTACAGCGCCGCGGAAAAGCGCATTCGATAGCCCTATTAACGCCCTTTCTGAGTAATTCTCTCAGATTTGACCTAACGTCAACGGTTTTGCCTGCAGGGGGCAAAAACTGCAAAAATAGCCGATTTTTTCGGAAACAGTTTTTCGGCAATAACTTTTGACCCAAGCCTTGTACGAGCTTACTTTTACCGGCATCGTGTTCCTCTCGTCAAGACGCATCGAATGAACTATAACTTGACCTTGAAAGGTCAACTTGAAAATTTGACCTCAGGTCAAGGTCATGACCTGACCGGAAAGGGTCATGTTGCATATCAGTCGATCCGTATCGTCGAGCTGAACACATCTAAGGCGTTTTCATCGCTCTAGCATGCCTCTATCAAAAGTTATTTGCGAAAAACTGTTAGATACCATTCGTGACCTTAGATGACCTCAGGGCATAAACAAGGGTCACGGACACCATTTTCATGTTCAGTGTGTCTAAACCACTTGTAATTCAGTGTTTGGGAGTGTTTATAATGTCTTCCGTCCAAAAGAGGCGCATTTCAATTTTCTCCCATTGACTTATAATGGGGAGGTCGCAAAATTGACCTGACCTTAGGTCACCGATATCAAAATTCCCAGATATACATTTCATAGATACTGTTACCCTTATCAATCGCTGAAAGTTTCAAAGCGATCGGTCACTCGGTGTAGCTATGACAGACATTGAAACTTTTTATGAGGTGAGGTCACTTCAAGTGACCTGGTGACCTGACCTTGAATGACCTTGGTCTGAAATTTTCACAACATGTGTAGAATTGATGTATGATAAGGTGTACCAAAAACGGCGGCGCTCCGCGCCGCCGTTTTTGAGATATTCGCAAAAAACCACAAGGGGGGGTGTTCAAACACCCCCCCCAGCAGGGCGCGGGTTAATTTAACGGTCCGATTTCGGTCAATTATTTAACTATGGGCGTGGTGCAGGACGCGTGCCGACGTGGAGTGGACCCTCGTCCGGCGCCCGTGGTGATTAAGGCGGACGGAGGGGATTATGCACCGGGGGAGTCTGGAAAGGGACGGGCGATTGTGTACCGCACCGCGCGGTTTGTGGGGCTCAGTTGATGGGCGGCCTGGGCCCAGAATGTTTCCTTTAATTTGGACGTGTAAGGGAATTTAAGGTGTTGCGTCGGAATATGTAAATAAATGGGACTTGTAAATATTGAAATACGAGTGTGAGTAGTGCTGAAGGGCAGGGATCGGAGGATGGAGCATAAAAGGCCATATGCCAGCCACACAGTCGGGAACGCGGTCGTTTTCAAGGTGTCTGGCTCGTCACAGTAATTTACAACGATCAGTTTTCTTTATCTGTTTATTTTACACAGTACACAAAGGGATTCTGTACGCACATTGGACCTAACCGAACGCATTGTACACTGGTGGGTTCCACTGGTTGAATTCCATGTGCTGTTGAGGCGGCTAACCCATTTCCTACCTTACCATATCCCAAGTGTCCTTGACATAACCTGTGCCAGTGGATTCCTGGTACTGCCTCCTAAGCAATTCACCAATGTCCCGCACACAAGCACCATGCATATACAAAGTCGCACCTGTCCAATTGCATAATCATCTGATGAATAGGGATTGCGGAACCGGGGAGATAGATGATGCACGTCACGCCCCTGTGCGTGGAAAGTCCACCGACGCGGCTACGGGTTAGGAGGGAGATGAGAAGCGAGTGAAATGGAAGAAGACTGTACACGTAGAGGAATCGGATTTCCTGAATGAAGCTCAGCTCGGATAGACCCCACTTAAATAGTAGGCCTCGCTTGGGTAAGCCCTGAATACGTGCAATAAGTCGCGAAGTGAAGAGAAAGGATGAGAGCGAGTTGAGGATCGATTATTGAGGATGAGTGCATAGCCGACGAAGGCTAATCCGTTCGGTTGCCGGCGCGGGCCCCATAAAGCCGTGGCTATACGGAGACGATGCAGGCAGCCCGGAGGGACCTAGTGACCCCGCCCGGTTTTAAAAGATAGGTTAGGTCCGCTATCGGTCCATTGAGTGATCAGCGCAGGATGACATTCGATAAGCGACGCAGGTAGTTTCGGAGATGGTTAGGACCCCAGGCGTCCCAGCGAGGAGACGTATGCCGCCGGTTAAGTAATGTCCCGCGAAGAAACGTGTGATGCTGCAGGACGGGGGTGAACATTAAATACCAAAGCATGCGAGTCGGGTGATCGCGGTAAGTCGGTACTGGCCACCCCGCTGTCAGTCGATTTACTCCGGCCGTGCAGCGGTCATTTCGGATAGGTCTGTGACGACAGCTTAACTACCAGCAACGGATAGATAGGGCTTCGGGCACCTATAACGCTGGTAGTCGTGGATAAGTGTGAAGCCAACGGAGGCTAACCCGTTCGGCCGCCGGTGCTGTTCCAAAAGCCGTGGCTATACGGAGACGATGCAGGCAGCCCGGACGGACCTAGTTACCCAGCCCGGTTTCAAAGTTTAGATAAGCCCACCGCGGGCCGTGGTACGCTTAGTTTTCGTTTTATTATAGGCAATTTGGCATAAACTGGTAGTCATGGATTCGTGTAAAGCCGACGAACGACTAACCCTTTTCGGTCGCCGGGGGCTGGCCCGAAAACCGCGGCTAAACGGAGACGACGCAGGCAGCCCGGATGGACCTTAGTTACCCAGCCCCGGTCTCAAATTTCAAATAAGTCCCCCTCGGAAACCGGACTACACAGGGTCCTGCGAGCCGTAGTCTCGGAACCGCTGGCCGAAGACATTTATGTTTTTGTGTAGGTAGTTCGAGATGGTGATGGGACGGACCGCAATAAGTCACGTAAGGCGAGGGTCGAGTGCCGAAATCTGTGGTGGGTCGTATCTCTAATTGTGTAGCGTGAGCATTATGAAGCGTTTGTCTGATGTACGGAGCATTGAGGCTATGAAGGGATGACGGTTAAATGAAATTTAAGGCCAATAACTCGATAACGACTTTGCGTGCGCCCTAGCACCACCGGGGGAAGTTAGGAAAAAGAGGGAGGGATCGGAGACGGCTAACTCTGATTATTTTGAGGTATGACTGGACGTATGACAGGAGTGAGAGGGGATGGACAAGTGACAGTGTGATTGTCGTGTATATCCGGTGGGAGATAGTCCTCAGCTAGGACGGGTGCCGTTGTTAGGAGTTGGAATCTGTTAAGTAGAGCTAATTTCTTATTTCAATGTGATCAAGGATAATGGGTTATTATCATTTATCTCTCCCCCATTCCTTAACCCTGGCCTATGTGTTTCCGACGATTGATCGCCCCGGAAAGATAGAGTCAGAGTCGGAACGGGTTCGCGAGGGGCTGGATACAGAGAAGGGCTTTTAGGAGCGCACCGACGGAGCTATCTTCAATATCCCTCTTTCTTGCTCTCTATCTGTACCAGAAGACACTGCCCGGTTAGCCCAGCAACGGCGAAACCCCGCTACACACATATCTCACTCTATACAGAGACCTATCCCATCCCACCCGTCGTAAGGAATGTCCACACGCCCCGCGCCGTGCCGAGATGTCGGGCGGTGGCGCCGTAACGGACTCGGTCTGAGACGGACGCGGTCCGGTGACCGGTACCTCCCGCAGCGCCTGAGAGCGGCGCGCGCACGAGTCGCAGGTGCCGACGGCAGCCGAGCGCGCCAGGCGTGCCGTCGGAGACGGCCCAACAATGGACTCCGTCGGCTCCCCTCTGTCCGGCCACACCCGCGCCGCAGACTGCCGAGATTAATTAGACGTGGGAGGCGCGGTCCGGCACCGGAACTCCTTCAGAGGCCATTACCACCTGATAGCTGATCAGGAGGGAGCTCGCAGCGAAGAGCTCAAATAGTGCTCCCAATGCTATCTTACCTAAATTTGTTCTTGCACTGGTTGCTGTGCACTTTAAAAATTCATTGGTAGGTAGATACTATTATTCTATTATATGCAATTATGTTCGCCTAACTATTATGTCCATTGACAATTAAACGGTTCCCGTGAACAGTTATAATGACATGCAGTCGTTTACATATCATGTCGAAGTGAACGTTAACAACTATTCTGCTCGCTATTTAAAATATTTGTCGTATTGCTGCTTGTTTAAAGTTTCTCCTAAAAATAAAATCATGGGGGTAAAAACAATTATGTACCTACATACATATATTGCTTAGCACCCATACTGAATTTTGCATTTAAACTTCATAACAATAATTCAATAATGTCAGATGCTTCTTCCTTCCATTTCAGAGTCAATTAGAGGCTCCACAGCATGATCGTCAGGATACGACATCCGTGCCAACATCGACAGCTGTCCCTGCTTCAATTGGTCCCAGTTTGAGCCCTGCCGTGAGTCCCCTACCCACAACCTCTGAAACTGATCCCTCTCTCCACCCACCCGTCACCGAGTACCGTCCCGTCGCCCACCCACCCGTCACTGACCCACCCGTCACCGACCCACCCGGCCCCGAGCGTCCCGTCGCCGCCGACACGCTCAGCTCCGTCGAAAGGGAAACCGATCACGGCCGGCAGCGGGATGCGCGCGGCCGGCCGGTCACCGCGCGCCCCACCGGTGACAGGCCAGGTGGGCCGTCACCGACAGTTCCGATCGGTGACACCGGCGGTCAGCCAGTCAGGACGGATGGTGTCATTGGTTCGAGCAGAGTAGGAAATGGAGCGGCCGACCGCGGAGGCGAGACCGGTGGCGGTTACGGTCCTAAATTAAACCCACTGTTGGAGGAACATGTAAGTGACAGAATGGGTAAACAAGGGAGTGAGATGGTCTTGAAACGGGAGCGTAACCCCGACGAAGGCGAAGAGGATAGTTCACAGAAGGACAAGGAAGAAATTCTATCGAATTCTGTTTTCTTAGATCGGGGTGCGATCAATTCGCTTCAAGACGCTACCAATGGAGCGGTACATGAGCAAATGGTTTTCGAATCTAACCCTCAGCACAACGTCCCAATTTTGATAAGTACGGAGCATAGCTTACTTGAAATCGATATTCCAGAAGCAGTCAATATAGCTGGTGTCCTACCTCAAATCGGAAAAGATCTTCGTCAAACGTTAATCCCAATCAGCGGAGGGTCACCTCGTCAGAAAACCGATACACTAGTCTCCGTTCGCCTCTCCAGCGACACGCGGCTAAGCAGCCACCATCTAACGTTCTCTTCTGTACTGAACGGCACCGAGGAATCTTCCAATCATCCCAAGCACGAGATGATTAGCGTGCGGAAACCTGCCGCTAACTCGATAAGTGGGCTACGAGCCGACACAGATATTACACGCCCAGTTACCGGCGCGGCGGCGGCCAGAACGGGGTCTCCGGCGGCCCCTGGCCCAGTTCACAGTTCTGCCGGCACGGTGGACGCCCATGTGCGCAGCCACGCTCCATGGGGCCGCGTGCGACTGCCGGCACACTCGATCGACCGCGAGGCCGCGAATGATGTCAGGCGCGGCTCATCTCTCACCAGCTCCGAGGCCGTGAGTGGTCCGCCGACCAGTGATGACGCTTCTCATGCCAGCGAAGAGCAGCCCTGTCTCACGGGCGGCCTGACCGACTCTGTGAACGACGTGCTCCCACCGGCTGGCCCCCCTCTCGAGCGTGTCGGAAGGCCGGTCCGCTCTCAGGGAGGCAGCGTCCAGAGTGGAGTCTCAGAGCAGCTGGGAAACACCGACTCCGCAAACCCAGTCTCAGACCAGATCGCGGATCGTATTCAGGCCGACAGGCTTAGGTCAGACACAGTGCCGGGCCACGCACAGCAAGGGTCGATTGATTTTGCCGAGCTGCCCAAGACAGAGGACACTGCAAACCAGACGCACAGCAAGGAGTCAACAGTTACGTTCCCAGATGATCCACACACTGTAGGCGCCGCCAAGAGGGAAGTGTATTACCCGGTCGATACTCCCTTCACACCCGGAAGCCATGTTCCGAACAGCCCGACGAGCCGCAACCCCGACAGTCGTGAGAATGCAGCCGTCGCCGAGACCGCGGACCAGCTGCGTGAGGCCAGCACCGGGCGAATCCCCGGCCCAGCGCAGAGACGTCCAGCTGGGGCACAGACGCACCACGAGCTCGACGGTGTGCGGCCGCAAACGAACCTGCCAACCACAGTCGCCGCCACGACCACTGCCGCTGGTAGTTTTTTGGAGAAGGTGACCACAGTCGCCGATATTTCTTTAGACAAGATGACCGCAGCACGTGCGCTTGCTGGTCCAGCTGTCGCCGCGGCTGTTGATACGACTACCTTGTGTTCAAAAGCAGAGGCTACCGACGACTCTTTAGGTATTGTCACCGAAAACGAGACTGATGGCAATGCGTTATCCGATTACGTGGGGGAGATAACGAATCTAAATGTGTCTCACAGTCACGATGGTCCACACCATGATCTGAATATAACCGAATTGACAACAGGGGAAGATACTTCTCAAGTGAATGCGGCGACTCAAGCACAAGAAAAGTGGCCCGAAGAGGAGCATGGTAAACTTGCCACTACATTAGCATGGTCTTGGGCTAACGAAACTAGCACAGAGCCTCAAGAAACTCCTCTGCCGTTGTCAGGCAAGGATTCATCCTCATTTATGACGACCACTACGCCCCTATCCCTGAAGCAGATTCTTTCGACAGATAAAACGTTAGAGACGATACAATATGATAAGGACGTAAAAACACCTAAGCCGACAACGCCTGCAAAATATCTCGATGAAGACCATAGATCTCATGTCACCGTCCCCGAAAGTGACGATTTTGTGGAAGCTTGGTCGCTCTCGGAGGAGCAGCTACATTCAAGAAACAACCGACCGTTATCAAATGACGACCACCCGTCCTCGGGAAACGACCGGCCGTCCCCGGGAGACGACCAGCCGTCCTCGGGAGACGACCAGCCGTCCTCGGGAGACGACCAGCCGTCCTTGGGGAGCAGCCAGCCGTCCTCGGGAGACGACCAGCCGTCCTCGGGGAGCAGCCAGCTGCCCTCACCAGACGGCCGCCCACCCTCGTTAGGAGGCCTGGAGGTGCACCCCGTGGACCGGTACCGGTACGGGCCTCCGCGAGTGGCCATCTCCTCCGAGCCGCTGCCGGACCGGTACGGCACCCCGCTGACGGTGCTGCGGTCCCGGGTACACGGCGAGCCCCGGCACCGGTACCGTCCACCGGTACCGGACCGAGGCCACCGGCACAGGAGCCCTCCGAGGGGCGACTACCGCCACTATCACGTCAGCTCTCTGCACGGCAGCGCTCATCGCAGCCCTCACACGAAACCTTACAGTAGTCCTCAGGCCAGCTATCACATTGGTTATCACACCAATTCTTATGCTGCTTTTCACACTAATCCTCAGGCTAATCCTCATGCCAGGCCCCAAGGTCCTCGCATCAGCACTTTCGTTCATTCTCACACTGGTTCCCACAGTGATAGCGTTTACCCACTGATCAGACCCATTCACAGGCCGGCAATATCAAAGTTTCGCCCTCATGACGAGGAAATCCACGAGCTGGATAAAGAAGACCGACGAGAAGAGGGGTCTAGTGGCAAGGTGCTGCATCTGGTAACACGGAGTACTCCGCAGCCGGACTCTGAAAGACCGTCAGTGGCTTCAGAAGCCACACAGACAGACAACGACCTGATAGAAGAGTCTTACAGCTCGTACGGCCAGGGACGGGAGTCTTCGAATTGGGCGAAGGAGCCTGATCAGGCTCCTTCGACGGTGCCGATAAACGTTTATGGACCAGGAAACCGACATACTTTGTTCTACAGACCACCAGTTCATCTCCACGACGCACCTCTCAAAGTTAAGGACGATGCAGAGACCAAGTCAAAAGCACATCCGAACCTCTCACTCTATGGCGATTACAAGCCTGTATATGTGAATTTCAACCATTATCTCGTTTCACCGGGATATGGATCTTATCCGGCCAGCACGGAGCGTGGAAAAGAGCCACTAATTACGACTAAACCTGAGTATGCTTCACGACTACCACACCTTTTCAAACAGGCGTCGATCGCGTCCAATAAAGGTGTGCTAAATAATATAGCACCGCCTCATTCATACTTGGCTACAGACGGTCAAGACGGTGCAGCTGGTTCTGTGCCAACGAATAGGCACGGCCCTCTCAGGATCAACAACGGCAAACCTGTAAGAATCACGCCTGTAAGGAACTACATTGCACCGCCCGTGACCAACCTTCAAAGAAGGTCACTGACTGGGGATGAAGCAGCCCAAGCCATTCACCAAAAGCATAAGAGATTTCCTCTCCCTGAGTCTAGCTCCGTGCTTCCCTTCTCCGCCGCCAGGCATCCTTCGACCACCTCACCGCCTCCCACAGAGCTCCTCACCTCTCCTGGCGCCAACCGGACGGCCAGCAGCATCATGGAGTTGCTGCAGAGCTCCAACGCCTCCACCCTGATCCAGCTGCTGCGGCTGGCGGAGCTGGACACCCTGCTGGCTGACACAGGTAGGTGGCGACACGGCCACACGCTGATCATTTGCTTGGAGCGACTTTTGTCCCACCAATCGCATCACCAAATCCAGAGGCGTTCACTGAGTGACCGTTTAACTAATTTCACCCCTGACCGGTCGTGTCATTCTGGCGAGCCCGTCTCCAGTGACCTCCCGTATACTAACTGTCACCGCTGTGTTGACGGCCCGTCATGGCGTGTCGGTGGACGGGCGGTCACACATGGTGTCAGCCGGCCGACACGGCCGCGGTCACGGCCGCTGCGCCTGGAGTGTGGGGAGGCATCCGGGCTGTATACTATATACGACAAACGGTGCGAATCGTGTGGGATATTGGGGTCAGGGGTTGGATTCCCATGCCGTGAAAAGGTGGCGATTATCGCGCGTCGAGTCACACATCAGACGACTCGAGTCTGCGAGTATGGGAAACCATGCGATTCTCAATGAATGTATATTATTTTGGTTCGCAGCGAACATTAGTCGAGTCGGCAGGTGATGCCAAATTATCTGCAACTAGTTGAAACCAAATAACCTGAACTGGTGAGACGAACTGGTGCTCCTAACTTAGAGTAAATATTAAACGGTGTCTAAATAACTGCGCTTTCTAGGAAATTATTAGTCTGCAACAGATCCTGGCTAATATATGCTCACTATGTGACGTTCGCAGGGCCGTACACATTATTTGCTCCCACCAACGAGGCTGTGGATGAGCTGGTGAAGCGACTGGGAGGACCACGGCAGATGTTGGAGAAAATGGGCAAACCCAATCTTGTCAAGGTAACGTCTCGCATGACTTTGCTTCAGCTTAAATGTACATTATACCCGTACAAGTGCCAACTGGTTGGATATACTATGCGTACTCTGTATGCCCGCATATCTAACTTATTACTTTCTATTATACACAATCCATAACTTTTCAATCGAATTCACCTTCATACCTATAATTTACGCGATGTGTGAACACCTGCACCTATTGCGGTACAGTGCAACTATCGGCTCTTGTTTTGTCCCTGTTATCCAATCAGCTGCTGCTGTACCACGTGATGCGTGGGTTCACCCTGGAGGAGGACCTCAGGGATGACGTGCTGGGTCGGACACTGGCCGGCGGACGGCTGAGGATCAATCAGCACCGCGTGGCCAGCACCAGCACCAGCTCCAGCAGCGGCCGGCGGCGCCTCGTCACCACTGTGGACGGGGCGCGCCTGGTGTCCGGGCCGCGGCTGGCAGAGAACGGCGCCCTGTTCTCGGTGTCGGCCGTGCTGGCGCCGCCGCAGCCGGGCGTGCTGGCCGCGCTCAACGCCGACCCGCTCGGCAGGTTCACCGTGCTGCTGCAGACGCTGCGACTGGCCGGACTGCACGACCAGCTCCAGCACGACGAAGGTACAGGTCCATGGCAGGAGCGGTCCCTTTAGAAAAGTTAGCTAATTTAAGCAATATAATTGAGCGCTATATCTATGTTACGGCACGGTCTAATATTTTAGGTTTGCTAGTTCCATGATTTAAAATATTCTTAGAGCAATCATATTTTTTTATTTACCAATATAATATGTCTCACAGAATAACCCTCTCGCCCAATGTGCCCGGCAGCGGGCCCGGTGACCCTGTTTGCCCCGACAAACGCCGCGTTCGCGACCGTCCCGGAGCGGCAGCTGCGGCGGCTGCTCGGCGACCGGCGGCGGCTGCGGCGCCTCCTGCTCGGCCACCTGGCCACCGGCTGCCTGTACTCGGCCCGGCTGACCGACTCCGGGACGGTCACCACCCTGGCCGGCTCACAGGTCACCGTCACCGGCAGCCCAGGTCAGTCGGCCGAGGCGCCAAATCCGATACCTATAACTTCATAGAAACTTGTTGGACTTAACTTTTGATAAATTAGTCGTAGGTACAATGACTTTTTCAGTCACGTGCTGGAAATGACCGACCGGCGACCACGATAGGAACACCCTTGACCCTTGACACTGCCTGAGCCGTCTGTGTGTGGTCCCTTAGAGCATCTGACGGTGGACGGCATCAGCGTCCTGCTGCCGGACATCTCCACCGAGAACGGCGTCATCCACGCCATCAGCGGCGTCATCGGGCGGCATCGGACGTCATCAGAGACGTCATCAGTGACGTCACCAGGGGCGTCATCAGGGAGGGCTGCATGAGTGTTATCAGGGATTTCAGTACAGTGCGCCAGTGCCGTCGGAGGGTCATTTAACGCCCGCCACTCAGGACAAACGGGCACCGTATAGCTGCGTGGGGGTGCTGTCCTCCACAACTGTCGACTGACGATTAAATGGCTAGTCTAATACCAGCTCCGTTTTGCTCTCAGTGGGTGTCAGACGATACATAAACGCACGGTGCTGCTGCATGTGGCGCCCATATCTGCAGAGTGCAGGGATTAACCACAGGGACCATACCTGTGCTGCGACTACATATGTACACACAGCTCTCTCTATTGGTTTATACGTGTCGCGCCGGACGCACCTACAACCGGCTTCATGTCGTGAGGCGAACCGGCTGGGTGGTAGTGTGACTGATGGTACGGTTGAGGTGTGACTGATGGTCCCTCTACGAGTGACAGATGTGCCTCAGTGTTGACAGAGGCGGCTGTTCCGAGCCGTGACTTATAAAGCACCGGCTCATGGCGGTCGGTAACGCACCGCTAAACCAGGAAACATTCGTCCGCACGGTTAATGATGCTTCAGTGGACGAGTGATGCCGTTTGTTGGTTATTGTAGAATGAGTGTCGAATAAGACGTGTGGCCGTTGATCTGTATCGAAATGCACTAATTGACAGGTTAAGGTTCATAAACATGATGACTGAAATTCAGGAAGTTCGAATCAGGAAACAATGGACAGTAAAGAACCAGTATAGCGCCTTTTGGGGCGACTAACGGAGCGAGCGAGGGGGTGAATCTTGCACGTGCTAAATTTCGAGGGGGTACCTCCAACTGACTTGTGCACGGCACCCTACTGACCGGTTTCTAGCGATGTGCCAAATTTGAGCACAATCGGCCCAGCCGTTCTCGAGATCTGGGAGCGGCACCCTGCACGTGCGCACGTGCAAAATGGGTCCCAACTGACTTGTGCACGGCACCCTACTAACTGGTCCCTAACCGTGTACCAAATTTGAGCGCCATCGGTCCAGCCGTTCTCGAGATCTGGAAACGACCCCTGCACGTGCGCACGTGCAGCAGCACCCCAACTCTGGCACATGGATATGCAGTGCCTAGTGGGTGCCTACCTACATGCCAACTTTCAGCGCAATCGGCCAAGTAGTTACCGAGATATTGCAACAATTACAAAAGTGACACCTCTTCGTTTTGCACGTGGCACGTGCATAAGGGGTCACCCACATGCATCGGGAATAGTCCAATACTTGGTAGAAGGAATGAAGCTACCCTACAAAAATTACCGCGTGTAAATCGGTCAAGTGGTTGCTGAGATATAAGCCTCGCAAAAGCGTCCGCACGGCCGGCCGGCCGGCCGGCCGGCCGCTCATACTCAGAAATTTCCGTTAATCTAAGGAAAGACTCCGCTCGCTTCGCTCGCTCCGTAACAATTGTTCATAAGTGTTACATCATTCGTGCTTCATACCAGACTGTACCTATTGATTGTTTTCACATTTTGGTAGCATATTGGTTTGTGCTCGTCATTTATCGCACTATAGAAGGTACGATTATATCGCATTTTGGCGTATGTTTGTCAGCCACGGCGCCGATATAATTGTTAGACGATGATGATAACGGACCGTCGTACAATATACCGCTTACTTCACCACGGCACGGCGTGACTAACGCTCTAATCCATCTCCCGATGCACGCTGTGATCTCACTGCTGGGTTGACGGCGCGGTTTACTGGGCGGGTCTATGGTGGGAACTCTGCCTAGCTCGGGGCAATCCGTTCCGGCCGCGCTGGCTTTATGTGCCGACCGGGATACGGACACTGAGCTTGTCCGTTTTTTTTTTTTACTGATGTACGTTGACTTTTATTATCGTTCTATAGATGACATATTTGGTACAGGTGCCTCTGTTACAAGGCTATGTAAACCCTCTGTTAGAATCTATCATGATTCCCTGTTGTTGTTGTTGGTTGGTTATTTCTCAAATTAAAAAACGTCACAATCAAATAAAAACGTCACCTTCACAATAAAAAAGCTCACATTCAAATCAAATTAAAATACATTTAGATTTAAAAGGTCGCATTTAAATGAACAACTTACGATCAAATTAAAAAATCGCATTCAAATAAAACTAACTTTCAAATTTAAAAAGGCCACGTTCAAATTCAGTACACTGTTGGTCCCGTGAAACCTTTTCCAGCCTTATATCTTGACAACCATTGGACCGATCTACAAGCGGTCTGCAGCATCAGATAACCCCATCATTTTAAAAATTAACGTGACTTTTATATCCGGGTAAGCGTCCCGGCGCGAGCTAAATGCCCAATCAGGGGCGCCTAAATGGCTGCGCTCACAAAACCCCGCACTGACTGGGACGTTGGCTGATGGCTCTGCAACTCATGGCTTGTCTTTAGGTCCCGACGGCCACAGCATTTCCGTGTGTCGTGGTTGGGGTGCTATTGCACGTGCGCACGTGCAGGACCCGCTTGTGTATCTTGAGAACAACAAGGCCGATTGCGCTCAAAGCTGGTACCGGCTACCTGGGTGACCTGAATAAGTCAGTTGTTGTCTCATTTTACACCTAGGTACGCACGTGTTAAACCGAATATATCTCAAGAACGGTTAGGTTGATAGAGTTGAATTCTATAGAGCTGGTGACCGTACAGTTACCGTCGATAGATAATGAAAGTGATAGTGGTTGTCTAACATGTATGAATTGATTACTATCCTCGGTGATTTGAGCTTATAATAAATTCCTGTTGACGACCATGGAAGAGACAGTGCACTTGCCAACATTGGCAGGAGGCTCACATCTATTTATCCACTTCATCACATATCACACATTTATCGAACCGTGCAAGCCTTGCATAAACACGGCTATATGGCAGTTGGCACATCCTTCGAATCAGCATAACAATATGCAACATATACCTACATTATAAACTCATTAGCTATTAAAGAAAGCGAGCTGTCAAGTGTCAAATCTGTTCCGCCTGACGGGTGCCGATAGTGCTTCGTACCTCTGCCGTGTATATCGTTACATAGTATACTAACCCAATATGAGTGTGTGCTAATAACGACCAAAGTCCGAGTCAGGCACCGAAAATATTTATCAAAAGAAAAAAACGAAAGCTGACGACTGACAGATTATTTTGGTAAGCGATCAAATAACTCAGTAATAGATGAATGAAGGTTCACACATTCATCGTGGAACCAGCATCGCAATCGCTGCAGTTAGTCTCCCTCTATTCTGTTGGACGACCTCTGCTCGTGCGCTGCCGAAGCCAGTGTGTAGAGCACCACTCCCTGGGCCAACACTAGCGCCACGATACCGACGTAGTGTTCAAACAGCACACTCTCAGCTTCCGTGTGCAGCCGGTAGGTGGTGCTGACCAGCAGGTACACCGCTGCAGCGCCCTTGAACGCATCCCAGACGACCACGGTGATGCTGCCGGCCGGCCACCCGTTCTGGAGACTCAGCAGCAGCAGCAGGTGCAGCAGCAAGTCGACTCCTCCGGCGCAGGTGGTGGCGATATCTACAATGGTTTGCTCGGAGCAGGTTTCACTGCAGTCCGCGCCGTGGCGCCACAGTCGCTGAGCACCGCAGGTGACCACGGCCACGGCCAGAATCTGTCGAGAGGAGAGGAGAAGATATCAGTCCATTGCAGACCCACGCTCGCATTGGGAGCTCACTCGTGCGTAAAACTGATCGGACCGGGCTCTGTAATTTAAGATAGCTAGTCACGCTTCATCTTTTTGTGTGGTGACCGAAGCGTTAGCCAATAGCCCATTTATGCTGAAATCAACAGGATGAGTATTGAGCAATGCAGTCACCTATAACGAATAACGATAGACCAAGAGATCAGCGCTGAAAATTATGACATACCTACCTAAGGGGCAGCGTTGTTTTTATCATTTTAGAAATATCCAGTATCCTCCAGTATCCTACATATCCACCCACCAACATCAAATGTATGTCAGTGTTTTTATGTAGGCTGTAGCACATTTCAGCAAGGACCTTGGAAGTTGGAAAAGTGCCGCAGTTTGAACATGTTTGATGTTTGATGTGGGGGAGAGCCGGGACATTTGATCGAGGTGTCGATGTCGACACTCGCATTTTTCATCGACAGCCCGTCATGACAGTTCGATCCATCACTTCTCTGCTCGGTGGGCGACCGTGTGGGCAGCGGCGGCCTCATAGTCGTTTGATGTGGACCGCTTCCGCCGACAGGCCGACCCAAGTCCCGCCAAAACAAATCCACGCGGCACGCACGCAGGAAACTTTTCGACTGAGTCAAATAAATGCATGGAAGCAAGCCGATTTCCGAATCAAATGTGGTAAAAAACTATGCGTATCTAATAATCTGACTTATAAAGACCTGGACCATCTCAGAGAACCGTCGAAGATTGACCAAGCTTATATAAGCTCGTATATGCACTGCAGTCATGACTAACGCATCCTCTCCGTTTATCCGATGAATCGTCTATCGAATAATCACTTCCCTATTTATGCCGCAGAAAAGTAAAGCTCATAGCACTTGCGATAAACATAGCCCGCACACGGGTAGGGTGATTCTCCGTTCTTGGTCACAAGTCCTGGCGTGACGGCATCGATGACATAGGCGGTGTACCCTTCACCGGCGCACCCCGACAGTGACCAGCTGCGGCGCCTGAGTCACGGCAATTCGTCCTGGCAGAGCTCGACTCACGGTGCTGGGAGAGGCGCATCCACTCTTATAGGTACAGCCCACCGCTAAAGTAATGTAGGGTTTTACCAATCTCAACGGTTGGCTTTGACTGGCGATTGTTTAATGCGGAGTGATCGAAAAGAAGATGTCAATAGCTTAAGTTGCAGCTGCAAGGGTGACGATACATATAAGCTACATTCAAACTTTCATTGTAGTCTGGCTAATCGTTCCTAAGCTTCAGAAGCAGAACATACCCATGACTGAAACCCCACATTACTTTTGCTGTGGACTGTACGTACTAACCTATCGAGCCCAACAATACGGGGGCAAGGTGTTAATAAGATCTATGTGTAGCCAATTGCTAGAGTCATAGCGTTGAGCGAATGTGAGCGTTTACGTTTAGACGGTGACGGAGTGCATAATTTTAACCGTAGGTACTAAAAACAACACCGGGCGGTATTTCCCCTCTCGGTCTCTCCATGTTGCCATCATCCACACAGGCGGAGCGATGGTGGCGGACAAACGGGGAGGTAGGTAATTAGGGCTGCCATCAAACAGCCAAGGCCGCCGCCGCCGCCTCATCCCAGCAGCAGCTGCAGCAGCCGGCTGCAAAACGACTGACGTGTCGGATATAGTCGGCCTCCAAAGTCTGTCGGAATTAATAATGATGCGTCCTCAGGCCGCGACGCTTCACTTCGGGGTGAGTTATCCCTGAGCGTCATAGCTAGCAAAGGACGTCTGTTCTGCCGAAAATGATGCCATATTTTACGCACGGCTATCTGTTGCAGGGACATCTGTGAATAGATCCAAGTTTTCTGTGACAATATGTCGACTGGCGTCATCCGACATGTCGCCCATTTTCTGACACTGAAAGACCACTTATGGCAAAAGATGGTCACTTATGCCAGCGAACAACAGCGAGGCTCAAACATGAACAGCTGACATCGGTTCAACAATGCCCGACCAGCACCCCTGACGAAACATGCACCAAACCGACGGCGTTCTGAATCACCTCCCAGCGACACTGATTCAGCGTTACCACCTCCCCCGGGCACTTCCAACAAAACCCAAACAGCAGCAGACCGGTCACCTGTTCCGGCGGAGCTGGCGCGCTGCCACCGGCCGGAGAGCACTGCCCCATCGCCGCTGACCGGTCAGATCGCGCCCTTCCCATCGGGGACTCACTGCGCGGGGTGGGTTATTGCAGGGATTCCGGGGATTCAGCCGACGGAATGGGCCTGTCTCACCGGGTGATAGAAGTGACAGGTCTGCTCTGAGCGGGGAAATAAAGAACCGAGAGTGGCTCAGCGTGCCGGTTCGGGTGTGTGATAGTGTATGTGCTGTAGAGACCCGCCGTCAATGGTAGTGTCTCACTTGTGGCTGGGTTCAGCTGGATGACTTACTGCCATCAATATCACTGTTGCTAGTAATGTGGCCATGTAAACGGTCGAGGCCGAAACGCCCGATGAGTACAAGTAGGTATAGAGAATAATAAACAGCCCTGAGAGTAAGTACGCAAGACATTACGACATCATCCGCTTGGGAGTTGGGAATGGAACGGTTTAAGAGCAAGGTCAATGTCTGGTGTCTCATAACCGTTTGATAAATTACTTAGATTGACTGGAACCAGCCGTTCTCTGCAGGGGATGTTTAATTTCACGTGCCAATCTAGTATGACTTTTGGATTAAATACCACCACATTGGTGCATGTGGGCGTGGCCTATAGTTAAACTCTATAGAACGATTTCATTTATCCCCGAATCGAATGGCACGTAAAATACCTTTGACCTGCCCTTGACCTGAGGTCAGAGCTTTAAGTTGACCTTTCCCAAACATAAATTACGTACCCACAGGCACCACGACGCGCCTGCGCATGACCAGCACGATAGTCAAAATCGCGACTCTGCGACCGTTTGGGTAAAGTTATTGACCTGACCGGACCTAAGAACATTTGACTTGACCTCAACCAGTTGAGGCCATTGCGCCAATCACTGCATCTGGAAATCGCGCATTCGCTCGTTTTTCCTGCGAAGCGCTAACTAAATTGGGGGGGGGGGGGGAGAAATTCTAAGGCGAGTCCCCCCTTCTGCCTCATGTTCATATGTACGAAAGTATACGACGATAAATCGATTGGTCCGGCTAGTTCAAACCGTTCACTGGAAACTTATTTCCCCGCAGAGCATACTCACCAGGATCAGAGTGGTGACGCTTTGGGCGGCCTTTTTCCAGATGCTGGGGTACTGGAAGCCCTCCACGGCCTTGAAGCCCGTGTAGCTGGCCGAGGAGGCCCCGGTCCGCCGCCTCTCCCGCATGGTCTGGTCGGCTCCGACCTAAGGTGACCCGAGCTGGCCTCTGAAGACCTTGTTGATTTTCACCGACCTTCGCCGACCCACGTAGACCTCCTGGGACTTCAGAGCATCCCTGCTCGAGTTGGTAGTCCTCTGATAATCTCAATCGTCGAGCTGGGCTGAGCTCGCATCCTGTCCTGCTCACTTCGATGACCTCAGCTTCTTCAATGTCACCATGTCCAATGACATCTGTGATCAGTTCCCATGTGTAAATGGCCGCTGAGTCGCACGCCGTAAGCGAGACCAAGTTCTCACGGACCTCCACCGGTTCACTATGACGTCCCTGACTGTCCGCCCTCACTCCCGCACCGCCCACCGCCCGGGCGAGACCGCCACCGCCGCCGCCGCCAGTCCGCTCGGCACTAGCCGCCCACCGAGCCGCCCATGTGCCGCGCTCTGCACCGCCCGAGCCCGCCTCATATAGTGGCACGTCGCCGCGCCCCGCCGACGGCCCGCGTGCTGATTTATGACACGGGCCCGGTCAGCCTTGAGCAGGGCTGCCGGCCGACCGGCTGTCCTGCCGTCCTGCCGCTCCAGTCCCGGCAACAGGCGCACTGCGGTCACTGTCTGCCGGGGACTGTTTATCCACCGAGCAGTGCCGGGCGGCGGACGCCGACTCTGAGCAGGGCACGGCTCAGCGCTCACAGCTGGTCCGGCGACACCGGCGGACCTCGCAGAGCCGCGGCGCAGCGGAAGGGGCGGGCCGCCAGGGGGCGTGGCAGGGGAGACAACAAACACTCCTGCAGCGCAGCCTGTCGCCGTGCCGTGTCGGCCGTCACACTCACTCGGCGCTCAGCTCCGAACAGATGCGCTGTGGCCACGCGCTAACGACGTGTTGGTTCTCTGCTGTCAGCACCAGCCCTCCGCGGCCGGCTGGAGCCGTTCCCGGCGGCCAGCTGGGGCCGTTCCCGGCCGCCGCGACGTGCATACAGAGGCCGATCCCGTGCACAGTGCACTTAATCAACACCGGCCGCACAAAGCCACAGGTGCACGAACGTCTGATACAAGCGCATTTATAGTTGCAGTTCAGACTAAGAAGCGCTATAATCACTGCACTTCACCGCAGTTCCCAGCAGCAGCAGGATTCTAGATTGATGACACAATACAATGGCACCGCAGAGCAGTGAATCCTTTCTAGAGGGCGTCTGTCTCTGGCAGTCACAACTGTCGGAGCTCAGCCGCTGCTGCGGCCGACGGACACAGCCGCCGAGCTGACGGGGCGCCGAGTGTCGTGACCGGACCGAATCAGCGCTGATTTACCGGGGGCTTAGCTCTCCGTCCGCCCCCGCTCCGGCCAGCTCTGTCCCAGTGCAGTGACGCAGCAGTCTGACCGCTAACTAACCGCTCCGGCAGAGCTGCACACGATCCATTCGACCTTTCAATCAGAGGTCACCCGAGTGGACAAATTGCGCGGCCGCCCGGCCCATGACCGGCGCCCGATCCAGGAGGCTGGGAACTTGATTTGGCCTGAAGTGGACCTGTCAGGCCGCGCCATGCATCATGAATTGAAGCGGGCGCTCACTGCAGCCGGATTTCCATAAATTCGATGGCCGGTTTAGGGTGTCTGATTTCTCGGTAGTCAGATGCCGGTGGCAAACCAAGCTCCTCTGTTGCCGGGTAGTACCACCGCTCTCCGGCGACTCGGCTAGCCAAATCATGCGTCGACTCACAGTAGCAGACGTGGTGTAAACGTTTGTTGCGTATGGAGCGATGTTATACCGCGGGAACGCCATTCTGCCTACACACAGCGTCCTGTGGTTGGATTAGAATCCGGCTAGCGGCAGCGGGCGGGGGCGACTTGGATATAAGTGCCCCGTCGCGACGGGGATAATTTTCCCGACGCGTGACGCATCGAGATAATCGAGGGAGAGCGACCCAAATTTGGCCCTCCCACAGTAGCATCTTCAGATGCGCACGAGCGCTAGTCCCGACCGAGACATTTGCATTCAGACGCAGTGGAAGGCTACATCACCACGCTCGACGCGATCAGCGGTTACAATGGCCAGCAGTGAAACACGTCTGCTCGACGTCGTTCAGCATTTAGCACGCCTTCGTACTTCGCTACTAAAGCCGTTTTAGAACAAGTACACTTGCACGGCTGTAGCACTGTCACGCTTGCAGTCAGGCAGTTATCAAAGCACTGCCGAATTGCGAGCATGTAACTTTGTCACCGGCTCGTGTGGCTGACACGATGGGACCACGTCGTGGGCCGCAACAGTGCCGTTCACGGCAGCTCCTCAGTCCTCGCCAAATAAGGCGATAGAATGGCTCGCCTCTATTCCCCTGCCGTCAGCTCTATAGGACAGTGAAGGGAGGCGACACACCGCTCGGCCTTGGCCATGTGAAAAGCCCGCCTCTACCACATTTTCAGTGACCGCTGTGGCCTATGCGACACGCTGAATCACAGCGGTACAAAAAGGTTTGAGCCGCCTCAAACAGCTCAAAGCACCCAGCCCGTGTCGATTACAGGTCTGCGGCCATGTGTTGACGTTACCGGTCACGGCGGTAGGTCCCCTTTGACAGCTGTCATCCAGTGTGTCATCGCGCCGCTGTAAATATGACAGCAAGTGGCTGCCGACAGCCAGCCACCTCTGCAGCCGCACGGGAGGACCGCGATGACAGTCGACCAAAACAGACACGCGAGCTCCCAGCGCCAATACCATTAAACATACCAAACGGCCGATAAAAGTCGCCAGTAGTTAGCAGTTAGCACTCGGCAGTTAGCACATACTCGTGTAGCGAAATGTAGCGACTACATAACTTTGGATATCAACACCATGTCATCCCCATCACGCAGCACGGCGCGTGGCGTGATGAACAGACCGTCCAGTCGCGGACAGGTGCTCCTAACTGCTCTAGCCGCGTCACGCCACAGCGCCAGGTGTCACCATATGTCAGCCGCTCCGGCTAATGACACGCGGCCGGGCGCTGGCGCTGGCCGACCTCCGCCGGACGTGTTGATAATGCGCCCGGTCTGTTCAGATATTCAGTGGCGGCTGCTACACGCCCGGATAGGATCGCGGCGGTTTTACATATTCCGTCCGCGGATGGGTCCAGGGATGTAATGCAGGCCAGAGGCGGGCGGGCTGGTGGTGAAAGCCGAGCAGCAGAGGGTTTGTGCGTGACTTCGTATGAAATAATTAAGACGGAAAATACAGCGCGATTTTATTCGGTTTTCCTGAGCTCCATGCATGGTAAATTGTGGGTAGCTGCTAACAATGCTTCAGAGTGAAAAGTACGGCACAAAATACTGCAGCGATCCATTTTTGTGCAACACATATCTTCCACGGTCACTTAATGGGGAATGTTTCCCGGGTCACAAATTCTCCGGTTTATATTTTCGAAATTGAAAGTACTCACATCACGCTCCTTTTGTAAACACGAGGTCTTTCACCATGAACTTTTTGAAAAGGGTTTGTGGCGAAGGCAAAAAGTTCGAGCTGTGAAACTGTCTTTCAAACTTATTCATTTACTACGAAATATAATACAATTTGCTCTCAGACGTGTGAATTATCGCACCCAAGACGTATGGAAATATTTAAACGAGTATGTACGAAATCGATATCAATCATGACATGACCGAAACAAAACAATGCACATTCAAACACCACCTGCTTCGGAAACAACTGACACATCCGGAGCAGCATGCTGTCAAAATCGTCCACGACTGCCCGACAGCTGAGAAACATAACAAGCTGACAGCAGCCGACAGGGACCCAGCCGCACCCCGGGCACCGTCTGTCCTCCCCTCGGCACCCTGCAATGGCGCGATGTGAGCCCCGAACTCCGGCGGAGTAACGGTGTCGGGCGGGGCGCGGCGCCACCGACCGGCGAAGGTCACTCGGCGGGGAGCGTGACCACTGGAGCTGACCGCCGTCGCCGCCGTCACAGGGTGCGACACCGGCCGAGCCCGCCGCTCACGCGATAACCAAACGGTCGGCACACAAAAATAAACACCGCAATCGGCGATACGAGTCGGAAAAGTCACCAGCTCGACGGGTCACGCGGTGGTTCCACGTCACTGTCGGTCACAACTACCGCGAAACGCAGCGTGCCGTCGCACGAGCGATACGCGACAGCGGTGACACGGGCGAGCACGTGATGCACGTGATCATGGCGGAGGTAAACGTGGCCCGTGACACACGTGCACGAAGTTCATGACACTAAAACGTTCACACGGGAGGGCACTTTGACGTTCAAGGTTTATCGCTGTTCGAAGGTGGTTCACTGTCTGAATTTTGAGCTTTGGATTGTGTCCCTGAGCCCTCCGCGGGCGTCATCTCCACATCCGAACCGCCCTCTGCCGGTGCTGAGTCCGTTTTCGCGTCACCAGTCTGCTTCTGGTCCTTCTCTGCTGTTTCAGAGCACGGCTCCTTTTCCTTCTCTGCTGTTCCAGAGGACGGCTCCAGCTCCGTTTCCCTGTCCTTCTCCGACCCCCCGGCTGACTCAGTTTCCTTTTCCGATTCCTCCGTCGAGTCCTCTGCCTCGGGAGGCGGGATCGCCGGCGGCGGTTCCTCGCCCTTCTTCCTCAGGAACACGCGCTGCATGGACAGCTTCTTGTCGGAGAAGCACACCTTGGACCACGTCTTCTGACCGCCATCGTCGGTCGACTGGCCCAGGAAGAGCGCCGAGCCGATCTGGTCCTCGTAGTGTCCCAGGAAGTTGTACTTGCCGAGCTGCAGCACCGGCTTGTCGGTGTCGATGCCGACGAACTGGTAGGAGCAGCCCTTGGTGAGCAGCTCGTCGTCGACCAGGCCGTGCAGCTCCACCAGTACCACCATCTCCTCCTCCTCGTACTCTGAGTCACCGCTCTCCATGGTGGAGCAGCGCGGACGGGCGCCACGGGCCGCGTCACCGCCAGACGGCTCCCGGTCACACCGCAGGTTACCACACCTAGCGCAGACGCACTGAGCGGTGGGATTTGTTGTGAAGAGCAGACACAACAGGCTTTAGTACAGTGGACTTGGCCAGTACCCCATGTGTTCCACCCACCTCAGGGCTCAGATGGTGCTCCACAGCTGCCTCGAGCTTTCTCCAATCCTTTTATTGATGAGTACTCTGGCTTGTGCTTCACCTTGCTAGATCTTGTAAATAGAACACAGTACAGATACTGCAATGCAAAACCAAGTTAGGTAAAGTCAGAAAAGAACAGCCAAAATATCACATGAAGCAGCTGGCAGTCCCAGTAATGGGCGAAATGGGGGACAGAGGAATGGGGCAAAAACTCTGGAAAGGAGGCATGTCTGGTCAGGCACCTATGACCTACAGGTGGCTACATCTTTAAAAAAATGCCAACTGCCAAGGGAAAAAGGAAAAGGGTCATCACCCATCCCATGTGATAAGTGTGAAGGTGTGATAAGTGTGATAAGATGTGATAAGTGGCATGGCAGCCGCATAGGCCCCTGCAGCTACCACCACCAGTCGGTAGGATGCTACGTGAGGCAACAAGGGAAAAAGGAAAAGGCCAACAGCCTTAGAGGCAAAAACATATATACATACTACCTCATCCGGCTAAAGGTCTTGCAGATTTAAGGTGTAAGTAGATGTTTGTTGAAATAACATCCAAACTGCATGCTAACACTGGTTTATTGTTATGTCTGCATTCTCCAAATACAATGCTTTCAACATTTTTTTAAAAAATAAATTAAAGCCTACATTTCACTAAGAACGCAAGCGCAGAGCACACAAAAATGTTTCATGCCACTTACCACATTGCATAGCCACTTACAATTTTTTTTTTTAAATTGAAATCTTGAAAACCATTCGCCAGGACGCTAAAGCGAGCACACATACAAGCAAAAAAGTGTTCAATAGCTGCAGGTTATAAAAAGTACCTGCTCGACGAACAGAAAGACGAAGATTTTCGCCAATTCTCTAGCTGGCTTTTGCCAGAAACGCCTTCAACATATATTTTCGAGCACAAATCTTACACCAGAAATGTCTCAAATGCGCAGTTTGCACTACAGTTGCCATATTTGAAGAAAGTAGCTCAAAAATCAAAACAAATAAAACAAATAATACGGTTAGATCCGGAGGATTCTGAGGTTGTCGGTCGCTTGCTGTAAATTTTTGCGCATTTTAGTTTCAGGTTTTCAAATTTATTAGACATTTCGATCGTATAGGCATAACAGCATGGCGGATAACATCACAACCTGTGCAAGGGCTTGACGAGGAAACAAGGCCCTATATAGAACGAGGAAAAGAATACCGAAAGCAGGTCAAGGTGGGTTGATTCCCATTTTTTTTTTTCAAGAGGATGCTGTTTTTCGTGAATAGCTTAGCAACTTCCTGTTAATTTAAATCTCTCCAATCACCATGAATTTTTGCTGGCATATTGGGTTATTACCTAGTGCTTAAGCACTGATGGATTCAGACTTGCGTTTGGGGGGAGGGGGCAACTCATGCACAAGGGTACCTGTCCTAGGGTACCCTAAATCCTGTTTTCTCATTAGATTTAGGCCATTCATTTTTCATCACAGCCCTGACATGATGAATATTTTTTAACTATAAAGTAAAATATAGAAATGGTAGCCCACACGACCCATGCCTTCAGGTCGAGGTGGGAGGACTCTGACGGCACTGCAGGCAGAGAGAGAGAGAGCGAGCGAGAGCGAGAGCGAGCAAGGCGGGAGCGAGAGCGAGAGCGAGCAAGGCGGGAGAGAGAGGGAGAGAGAATATATATAGGCCCTGGTGTGAATAGCTTTGATGTATGAACATTTGAATGTCCCCATTTACAGTGGACCTCACACTAATTTACACCATCATACCTCCTGACTGGCCTGCCATGAGCCATCACTAACTGTCAGGCGCCGTCTGCCCGCAGCCTCCGGAGCCACGCCTATGTGAAACCACACTCACAGTGAGCAGCGGCCGCAGCCATGGAGTCGCTGCGCGCCTCGTCCTCGAGCTACTTCCCGGAGGTGGACGACGAGCTGGGCCGCGACGCGGGCTCACCGTACGCCGGCCAGCAGGCGCTGCAGGCGGCGTCCTACTCGGACCAGGAGGCCCTGCCGCCGTCCTCCGTGGCCACGCTCAGCCCGGGCCCGCAGGAGACCTACCTGCGGGCCGGACACTACACGGTGGTGGCGGCGCGGCCCGGCGAGCTGGTACACCAGGTAGGTACCGCAGCGGGCCGCGGTCGGCGGCGCGGCCGGGCACGTGGGGAGCGAGGACTGCCGCACTCTGGGGACGGACTGTGGGGAGAAGTTTGTAAGAGGGGCGGGAGATCCGCTACTGACCCTCCGCTCCATTATTGACCCGTTTCCCCCTTTATTGTCTTAGTCTCTCCCCTTGTTGGCCTGTTCGTCATTATTGACCCACTCCTATTAGTCATTCAGTCGCTCCCTTTATTCATTGACCGGCTCCTCTGTCATAGACTGGTTTTACTCCTTTATTGCCCCACTCCACCGGTAGGGGCCAGCTCGCCTCCATTATTGACCTTTTGTTATTGACCCATTCCTGCTCGATTGGCCCACCCCAGCCATTGACACACCACTCGGTCTGCCCGTTTCTGACCTGTCTGCCTCCGCCGCCAGGACGGCGACAAGGAGGGCGAGGCGGCGTTCTGCGTGCAGGCGGTCGGCGCCTTCTCTGAGGCCGGCGCCGAGCTGGACAAGTCGGTGTCCCACGAGCTGCAGTTTATCGGCGCCGGCACGGAGCTGGCCGGCGGCGCGTACCAGCTCAGCGCCGCCGGCGACGTCTACAAGCTGGTGGTGCGCGAGTCGAAGCCGGGCGACGTGTCGGCGGAGCAGCTGGCCGTCCACTACGGGCACCCGCTGCTGGCCGAGCCGCTGCTCCCGGTGGCGGCGGCCGTCACCGACCACCACGTGCCGCCGCCGCAGCCCGACCAGGTGGACAAGAAGGTGGCGCTGTCCGTGCCGGAGGCACAGCCGTCCCAGCAGCTGGCGCCGCCGCCGCCGCCGCCCCACTGCCTCATCTGCGACATGCGTCTGGCCAACCACCCGGTGCTGGACATTTTCAGCAACACCACCCACCAGACGAGCACCACGTACGCCATCAAGCTGCGCCAGGTGACGGGCCACCGGGCCAACTTCGCCTACCACTCGGACGTGCTCTGCGAGTCGTGCGCCTCGCTGCTCAACGTGGTCGACTCGTTCGAGGCCCGTCTGCGAGAGATCAAAACCCGGCTGGACGACACGCGCGCAGAGGTGCAGAATAAGTTCATCCGCACGTGCGCACGATATGACGAGGCTCAGCTGACGGGACCTACTGAGCCAGAGGGGGAGAGTGATAAGGTGCAGGGGAGAAAGAGAAAAGCAGAGGAGACGGCACCGCAGCCCAAGAAGAGAAAGTCGCGTATCAAGACGGTCGCTGTTTTAAAAGACACATCGTACAGGGCGAAGACTGCTGCTGCCTCTTCTTCCGCGGAGGACGTCGGTAAGGAGCGACAGAACGGATTAATTCACACATGGACATGCATCAAGCTATATATGTTTTGTATACATTTTAAGTGTAAATGTATCGTTAAAGCTGGCAATGTCTTGGACTGGCACGACATTAACTAGTTTCTTGTTGGCCTTTGTAAGAGCCATTACAGCAGCTGAATGTAAGCTCCACTCACCGGCCGGTTGTGCCCCTTTGTTTCAGGGTCGGCGGCGGTTCGGCAGCGTCGGCCGGCCCGGCGCGCCGCCGAGCGAGTCAGGACGCTGGCCGAGGACGCCGACAACCCGGAGGGCGTCGACGACCCGGAGCCGGAGCCGGAGCAGGCCGCCGACCCCTCGTACGGCGAGGTGAGCGACGGAGGGTGACCACTGGCGAGTGAGGTTGGGTTCACGATATATCAATATTAGATTAAACAGTGACAGGGTACGGTACGTCATGGATGAAGTTTAGAAGATACCTACCAAGGATTGGGGTTACTTGTTATGTCATCTGCTTTGTTTGTAATCGTGAAGGTGTTTGAGCGTGTTCTGCGTGTCCGTCATTTGGTGGACGTGAAGGTATGACTTATGACAAACTAAAATATTCGTTCAATAACAAAAACAACGTTGAAAAAACATTGCACAAAACATCACGTGCACCGGCAATGCCAGTATTCTGTTCCGCCACCTACCAGTCATCTATGTAAGCCAAAGTGCAGATAGGGCGGCTGCTCACGCTGGCTGGAGACTCGGAGGTACTCGCGTGGGCCGGCCGGCCGGCTGGACGAGTGAGGCGGCTGGGCGGGCCGCCGGCCGCCGGCCGCCGCGCCGCCGTGTGTGTCCGGCCGTCCGCTGACGCCGCCTCCCCTGTCCGTCCAGCTGGCCAGCTCGCTGAAACTGGAGACCGCCGCCGCAGAGGAGGACGACGCCGCCGAGGATGAGGACGATGACGAGGACGAGGACACCACCAACCTCTCGGACGGCCGGCCACTGCGCGTGGCCAACATGTGCGACCGCTGCGGCCGGCTCTTCATCAACCCGATGGTGCTGAAGGTGCACCAGCTGACGCACGAGCGGGAGCAGCAGCGCTCGCCGTCGCCGGCGCCGGAGGCCCCCTCGGACGGGCTCATCATCCCGGCGCTGGAGATGGAGTACCCGGGCGGACCGGACGACGTGCTGGCGCAGGCCGTGCAGCAGATGCAGGGGGCCGACAGCCCGGCGGCGGCCGTCACCCAGGAGCGGCCGCCGGACGGGCCCGAGACGGTGCCGCCGCCGGCCGAGACGGACACTGTGCCCGGGGCGTCCGGAGGGGCCGGTCAGTCGGCGGCGGGCGTGCAGGAGGTGTTCAAGTGTGACTCGTGTCCGAGCATATTCCGGTCGCTGCAGAGCCTGCAGCGTCACCACCGCAAGGCGCACACGCAGGCCGTGTGGCGGTGCTTCGTCTGCTGGCAGGCCGTGGACAGTCTGCGCCGGATGCGCCGGCACGTGGCCGCGCACGGCGAGCAGAACAGCTGCGCCGTCTGCCTGCTGCCGTTCGAGACCAAGGCGCAGCTCAAACTGCACGTGACGCGGAAACACCCCGAGACGCAGACCAAAAACAACTACTGCGAGCTCTGCAACAAACACTTCGACAACCAGGGCTTCATCGAGCACGCGCGTGGCGTACACGGCGTGGGCGCCGACTCGTCGCGCCGGATCAAGTGCGACCAGTGTGACAAGGTGCTCTCTAACAACGTCAGCTACGCGAGACACATGAAGGTGCACAAAAGGGACTTCAACTGCCAGTACTGCGGCAAGTCCTTCAACAGCCGCACCAACCTGGACAACCACGAGCGCACCCACACCGGCGAGAAGCCCTACATCTGCCCCGACTGCGAGCGCTCCTTCATCTCCAAACAGGTGCGCGATATCCACATCCGCACCTTCCACCGCCAGAACCCGTACGCCTGCAAACGCTGCAAGCGGCGCTGCGAGTCCAAGGCCGCCTTCATCCGGCACATGCGCTCGCACGCCGGCGTGACGCCGTTCGAGTGTCCCGTCTGCGGCAAAAAGATGACCACCGAGTATTCGCTGAAGATGCACATCCGCGCCGTCCACGACCGCAAGCTGCCGTTCCAGTGCCACGTGTGCCAGAAGGCGTTTCCGTACAAGTCTTCGCTGACTCTGCACATGAACACACACTCTGGCGACAAGTCGCACATCTGCGACATTTGCGGAAAGTGTTTCGCGTCTCGCGGTTCACTGCGCACGCACATGCACACGCACAGTACGGAAAAGCCGTACAAGTGTGAGTGGTGCGACCGCAGCTTTTCGCGGAAGGACCTGCTGGCCGGACACAAGCTGCAGATTCATGGCATTCAGCCGGTGACCAACTACTCGCGGCTCACCCGACACTGAGCGGCCGGGGAAGGGTCGGTACGGACTCCAACTCTGTGCCCGGGGAAGGGTCGGTACGGACTCCAACTCTGTGCCCGGGGAAGGGTCGGTACCGACTCCAACTCTGTGCCTGGGGAAGGGTCGGTACGGACTCCAGCTCTGTGCCTCTGAATGGGTGTGTTAGAAGAGGGGCGGTAACTGTACAGAGGCGGTGTGTGTGTGTGGCGTTGGAGAGTGACGCGATGGGTCCGTGTGGGGAGCTGTGAGGGGCGCTGCGCCCTGCACTCGGGCTGTTGATGTGGGCAGGGTTGGTGGCCTGATGTTTGCGTTGGCATTATCCGTCCGTGCCTGGTCCGTGTTGGTTGACACCGCCCGCTGCCGGTCGGGCCGGTGGTACGGCTGAACCCGCCGGCCGACATTAAACCCTGCACCCGGAGCGCACATCTCGTGAGGTCCCCCACAGATGGGGTGATACAGGCGTCCCGGAGCCGCGGGGAGCTGCGCCATCACCTCCCTGAAGCCCGGCGTGACACCAAGCGTGTCTTAGGATGACGAATTTCGATACTGCACCTTTGATAACAGTCGAAAATAGTTGTATGGTCAAGATGGTCTCCGTGCCTGCAGTGCACGTGCGAATGCCGGTGTTTGGTATATACTTTTATGGTGAACGTTTATGCAGCGTTTTATGATGATTTTTGCTATCTTTTTCCTGTTGTCTTGTGCGTGATAGGTCAGTTTCTTTTTGTACTTTGTATCTGTGACGTGGGAGCTACATCTTTGTAACCTGTTTCAAGGTCCCTTTCAGGGCGACTAGATGTCTCAATCTTGTGCAGGTTAGCCTTCATTCGAATGTTATCTCTGATGTCCGCAATATCCAGGTTGTAGGACTGCTGCGTGGTGTAAGGAGTTATCATGACTCTTTTCAATAGGTGTTGTACGAGTTGTGAAATACACAAAGATTATCTATAATATTTGTGTCATGTTACGGGTTGTGATCTGTTTGGGATGCTCAACTCATATGAAGGGAACCATAAAAAACGAGTTTGGATCATCCAAACTAGTTTTTATGGTTCCCTGGATGTATGACATGCAGTTGCTTACATACGAAGAAAGTTAATCCTGACCAATCGGCGAAAAGCTGGTCCGAAGGTGGGCTGGAAGGTGCAAGGTGCACTGTGGATGACTGAGGAATCTCTCAGCGTCTTAAACCCAGTTGTGCATTCAGCAACATTCGCACAGGTGTTAGAGGCATATGGACCACCTCTATCTCAAGTATTATTGCGTTCTGCGCCGTGAATCTGATTGAGATGGAGCGGGGCAGATCCCCTAAAACGTTGAATTTGCACCATATCTATGATGACCGCCTCCAACACGAATGAGCCTCTGAACTGTTGAGTTCTCACTATAGTGACCACCGCTCGCCGCCCACAGCCGAGCGGCGAGGCCGACGGCAGCGGCCGGTCCTCCGACGACGCAGAGACGGACGCCGACGACGACGAGGACGACGAGCCCTCGGAGCGGCGCGTCCGGGTGGTGAACCGGTGTCCGCACTGCCACGCCGTGCGGGACAACATGCACGCGTTCCGCGCCCACCTGGCCTCGCACGCCGAGCTGACGGCCGACGCCGTGGCCGAGCACCTCACTCAGAAGGCCAACGAGAGGCTCGCCTACGCGTGCAGCAGGTAAGGACCGAGAGGGGACGGCCGGACCCAACTGGTCAACGCTGGTCGCTGCAGCCTGGCTTAAGCTTGGGTTTATCGCTCATATCCAGTGTCATTGTTCAAGGTGCTCGTGGCCCAATTCACAATGACTGGAGTTCGTTACAGCGGGCAAATCGCGTCTGAGTGAATGATCACTTACTTGGTTATGCTTTCAGCTCGTTGGCGTTTTTTCCAGACTTTGTTAGCACTGAGCAGTCCTGTTAAATTATTCGGAGCACGTGTAGTGTAGGTTCCGTACCGTAAGATCGATGAATTAGGCGGTATGCACATCTCATCTGCCGCCGATTACCGTTCGCTGACGCCGCCCCCGGTCCGGCCGGCAGGTGCTCGACCACGTTCTCGGCGTACCGGGAGCAGCAGCGGCACGTGCGCTGCCGACACCCGCGGCTGGGCCGCTGTCCGGTCTGTCTGACAGAGGTGGAGGAGACGGGCGGCCTGATGCAGCGCCACCTGGCCTCGCACGCGGCGCCGGCGCGCTGCTCCTTCTGCTCGGAGCAGACCGACTCGGTGACGGCGCTGTGCCGACACACGGAGCAGCAGCACCCGCTGGCGCTGCACAGCCTCTACTGCGAGCTCTGCCGGGCGTTCGTGGACGAGGCCGCGATGGCCGCGCACCTGCGCACCGACCACAGCTCCGTGCCCGAGCTGAGCGTCCAGTGCCGCCGCTGCGGCGAGGTGGTGCGCCGCAGCGCGCTGGTCGGCCATATGAAGGTGCACGAGCAGAGCCACCGGTGCGGCTACTGCGGCCGGGCCTTCCCCAGCGCCGCCGCGCTGGTCATCCACGAGAGGACGCACACGGGCGAGCGGCCCTATCGGTGCCAGGAGTGCCGCAAGTCGTACATCTCCAAGGCCACCCTGGAGGCGCACGTGAGCGCGTTCCACCGCTCCAACCAGTACGAGTGTGACCAGTGCTCGCGGAGTTACACGAGCGCCGCCCGGCTGAGGCGACACCAACTAATGCACAGCGACACCAAACCGTTCATCTGCCAGGTGTGCAAGAAGGGCTTCAACCTGGAGAACCACCTCAACATGCACGTGCGCGCCATCCACCTGGGCGAGACACCGTACGAGTGCCACGTGTGCCACAAGCGCTTCCCGTACAAATCATCACTCAAGAATCACGTGCACGTGCATACGGGCGACAAGTCGCACTGCTGTCCCACGTGCGGCAAGCGCTTCAGCACGGCCAAGATCCTGCGCTCGCACTCGTTCACCCACCGCGCCGAGAAACCGTACAAGTGTGACTACCGGCCCTGCGACGCCAGTTTCTCCCGAAAGGACCTGCTGGCGCGACACCGGCTCTCGAGCCACGGCATCGCGCCCGAGGTGCGCTACAGCCGACTGCAGGGCCGGCCGGCCGCCCGGCAGCCGGCGCCGGCCCCTCCCGCACCGCCCCCGCCGCCGCCGCCCCCGCTACAGCCGTCTGTACACTACGTGCTGACCTACCAAGCGCCCCCGCGGCCCGCACATCCGTCCTAATGTCCGAGAGCAGTGATACGGCTGTGTACCTGTGAGCTGTGGGCTCGAACCTGGCCGGGGCTCGAGTCTCGACATGGGCGGAAATTTCTATACCTACTTGAGCCATCTGTGCTGGCATGTGATTGCTGTTTTCGTCGTCAGCGGCTTGTGCGTATCGTACAAGCTTACTGTTATTGTACGTGAAGGTCGAGTGAGAACCCCAGAGGTGTTGGCGCCTATGGGGTGAGTATACGGGGTCAAACATTCCAGGCAGCATACAATGGGCTGGGCATATTGCCGATCTCGAGCGGGGACTGAAACGGTTGTTTTTTCCTCGCCCGCCATGTTACATTACCTATATGCTGACAGACATTAGACAATAAGTGTCTATCGATGAAAATCGTGCTTCACTGGACACGACGTACCACGTGATATTTTTGGGTCTGCACAGTGCACCGGTAGTGTTTTTCGTTGTAGCATCCACATTCCACACCAGCTCCACTTCGCCAGTCGTATATTTGAAAATCCCCAACCCCGTAACAACCACATTCATCAGCGAACCTTTGCCTTCTTCGCTCCGGCCTTGGTCTGCTGCGGCCGTTTCCGTTTCTTGTTTTTCTGCTGCTTCTTCTGTTTGTTTTTGGAGGGTTTCAGAGGTTCGAGCTTGTCGCCCTCGTCTTCTACCTCGTCGCTCTCGCTCTCTAACCTGTGAACCGAATGGCGCGTCAGCAACTCGGGCTCCAGGAGCTCTGTCTCGCCTAGCACTGTACCTTATCCGTCATCTCACTGACAACCTCGACAGTCAGAATTCAGAATGAGTTTCTGAAACAGGCATTGTAATTGTATGTTATTTTACTATGTTTTTCATCATTACATTGCGTGTTATGTATTGGTTTTTGTACGTCTGCCAAGCAACGTTGCAAACATGATTCATTGATGTAAAATGTTGTATGTAGTCCGTCTGCTGACTGTTTTGCACGAAAATCAAATAAAAGCACTTAACAACATTCACAATGCACTTTTGAGACATGATTACGCAAATGATAAAATTTCCTATTATAGCCGCATCTGAAGAGCTTAGAAAGTGGTGGGCGGTTTTGCACTTAACAAAAGGCGTTCGTATACGGTGGTGGGACAGATCTTTTTTTAAGCGCATGATGCCAAAATGTACTTAAATATATGGGGACAGATTTACTCAAACATTTTTACTGTACTTGTAGTGTCATTGTATCAGCGTGGTATAAAGTATTCGTATTTCGGTAAGATCGTAAATATTTCAGGCTTATTTATCACTTGCTCGGAAGCTATGTCCCACAGCAGTGCGGAGACGATACTCATTTAGCCCCTATCCGCCGCCCAGCGCCGGATGCGTTCCTTTTGTTAGGTCGCGTCGAAGCGCGTTATTGGGCAAGAGACCAGAATCGAGGGCAACAACCGGTCCTGCTTAGAACGTATTTGCCAGCCGGCTGACGATTTAACACGTCCTCCGGGCCGGATTTGAACCAGCGACCTATGGATGCCTGTGAGAGCCGCTACAGTCCACCGCTCTACCAACTGAGCTACCAGAGGATATCAAACCAGTGGAACAATGCCAAATGCGCTAAGCTTGACGTCGCTGTTCTGGCCTGCGACAGAGTGAAAGTGAACACCCAAATTCAGAGATTGCAACACACCTGCTCTGCAGCCGCAGCTCGACATAAACACAATCCGCCAGGCCTCTGGTAGCTCAGTTGGTAGAGCGGTGGACTGTAGCGGGACACTCAGGCATCCATAGGTCGCTGGTTCAAATCCGGCCCGGAGGACGTTTTGAACCGATATTTTTTAGAACTGGGTCGGTTGTGACTTGTGGTTGGTTGAGAATTGAATGTCACTGCGGTTTCGTCAGGGACCTACAACAATTATAAACTTTGCCTAGCCCCGAGAGCAAGACAATGAGACGGCTACGCGCGCTAAACAGTTGGTCCGCGAAACCTTCACTCGAGTGTTCACTTTCAGCCACCACGCAAAGAATGATCACTGAAAGGTACCCAACATGTTTCACCACAGCGGACTTCTCAAGCTATCCTACGGTGCGAAGAACTTCGTTCAGTCATTCACTCACTAAATGAAATCGGTGCCCGGACAGTATCTTCCAAGGCTCAAGCTATAAGGACGAGAGAGATGCGCAGTACGACCGGATGGCAAGAAGGGCCAAACACTCACCGTAACACCATCTCCCCGTCCTCCTGCTCGCCCTCGGAGTCGTCCTCTGCGTCCTCGTCGAACGGGCGCACCTCGTCCTCCGAGTTCTCCTCGTCCTCGTCCACACTGTCCACGGCGTCCGGGCCGGCCCGCACGCTGATCTTGGAGTCCTGCGACACCGCGGACGGGGTTAGAGGGGAGTGTGGGAACACAGCGGCGCGCTCTGCGGCTGGACAGGCGCGTCTGGATGTTTTCCATAACAAATTTCCAAAAGCCACAAGTGAGGTTGCCGACGCATAAGAATCACTCGTAAACACCAATTGCTCCTTATAAATACCATCATTGCTTCACCATTTACCATCCTCACGCACTAATCTCATCCCCACACCCACAACACACTCGTTCAGCCCCTCACGCCGCTGCATCACCAACCTTGCCGGGCTTGGCGCTGCTCTTCTTCTCCTGCCGTGCGCGCCAGAGCTCGTAGAAGGCGGTGAAGGGCGTGCCCTCTGTGCGTCGCTCCTGTTCCCAGCGGCGCACCGCCTCCAGGTCGGACAGCTCGAACGGCAGCGTCTGGCGCCGGGCGTCCAGGTGCTCAGCGTTCGCCTTGATTTTGTCCAGCACCTCCTTCATCTGCTGGTTGTAGGTGCGCACCTTGCACTTGGAGAGGAACTCCTTCAGCTGAGTCCCCGGACGGTGAGGGGGAGGTCAGACTGGTGTGACGGTAGCGAGCTCAGAGTGGGTGACGGAGGCACGATACACACGGATATCCACCGCTCAAAGAGAAGATGGATAGATTCGAGGCAGAATCAAAACAAAAGTTTGATGTGTAGACAAGTTGGGATTTTTATTGGACGCAAATTGAAAAGAATCTTAAACGAGTTTGGAGCGAAACGCAAACAAGCCAAGAAGACGTCGACTGCCAATGACCTAGCATGCGTTCCATGTCAAAACGTCCTCCGGGCCGGATTTGAACCAGGGACCCGCAGATGTCTTTGCCCGTATGTTCACCTCCGGCCCGGGGGCACCGGAGTCACTGGAAAATTGACCAGCCAGAGAGGGACTCGCGGCAATTACAAATCCTTCGTGAAATAGGCATCAGGTCAAATAACAGACAAAAGCCGAAGGTCAAATTTTCTAACTGAAGGTCAAACTATGATTCAACCGACGCGTCTCGACGAGAGAAATACGATGCTCGTAGAATCGGTGTCGCACAAGGAGTGTATTGAACGTTATTGCAGAACAAGCCTAAAAAATGTCCATTTTCACATTATTTGTCCAATGAGAACGAACCGTCGCCCTGAAGTAAATTCTGAGCATATACATCACAAGAGGTTGCAAAGAATTATCGTTTGCACTTTACTGCGAAGCCGTAGCTCATCATTTCACGGGTTATACGTCGATTTGTCGAATCATATTTTTCTTCAATGACCTCAAGTGACATTGGTATTGACCTGAGACCTGAGTAGAAAATGACAACATTTTCCAACTAAGATACTCGTTTAGGTATATATTGATCACCTTTACTGTTTTTATCCTTTTTTAGCCCGCGCCCTGATGGGGTCTGCCGAGCAACGCGGTCTGATGGGGGGGGGGCATTTTGCCCCCCCCCCCCTAGATCTCGAGAACCACGCAACATAGCGACAACGGCAAACGGCGTTGGATAGCCCCAACGGGGAACTACCTTGTGACCCAATTTCATTGACCTCGGTCCAACCGATGACGTCACAGGTCAGGTCAAATGTCGAATTTTCACCGTTTACAGGCATTTCAAGAAATGCGTTGTAAAATCGAGTAAAATGCATTTCATTGAAAATCATCGATGGGGAAACGTTCGTCAAGCACATATTTTGTTATCTGAGGTCACTGATACCAGGTCAGGTCACAGAGGTCAGGTAACTGAGGGTCACAATACGAAAATATCATGTGATGCATGTTTTATGGTCCAGTTTATATGCCAAATGCGATTATGTGGGGCAGGCAGCCCTTGGGGTCAGTTGATATTATGTTTTGGTGAAGGTCAGGTCAAGGTCAGGTCAAGGTCGGGTCAAATTAGGTCAAATTTCAAAGTTGATATTTTTGCATAAAATGGGATCGATTCGATGCAGTTCGTCACGGGGAGTTCAATGATGGCCTTTGTTTTGCGCTGAGTGGTCTAGAAATGCTAAAATTGAGGTAAAAAAATTTGACGTCATCAATTTTGATTTTTTTTTTTGCTATAACTTATCGATCATTAAAACTTATCGATCAAAAAGAGGTATCGATCTTAAATTTGATATGCATATCAAAGAACGCAGGGAGTATCACATTTATTCCGTTTTTTTATCGAAATTCGATTTTTTTTTAGATTTTTTAAAAAGTTTTTTTTTTCTCTAAAAAAATCATTTTTTTTGTTTTTGGGGGTAAAAATCCAAAAATTTTGAAAACCCGAGATAGCAGTTTCGTAGCGCCGTCTTTCCTCTACACGACCACATAAAGAACTTTAAAATTGCTTGTTAACTGTAGATTTGGTGAGCGTTTCAAGATGTCATGTTTTTTGCTAATTTTTACTCGAACATGACCTCAGTTTGACCTCAATAACTCCTGACCCAAGGTGACCTGTGACTTGAAATTTTGTGTGAATATGTCAAATTGATGCCCAGAAAGGTACTGAAAATTTGGCGGCGCTGCGCGCCGCCGTTTTCTTACTATTTAAGAAAAACCACAGGGGGGGGGGCCAAAATGCCCCCCATCAGGGCGCGGGTTAGTGTACGCGATAATCAGGTGTGCGATAAGAAGGCCCTCACTGGCCATCGGTCACCACCATGGATACATCGACTGAGAATCCCACCACAAATTAAAAGATTTTGACCCGTCACCGAGGTCAAAACGTCCTCCGGGCCGGATTTGAACCAGCGACCTATGGATGTCTGAACGTTCCGCTACAGTCCACCGCTCTACCAACTGAGCTACCAGAGGAAGCTGAATACTAGTGTCGCCGCGCTGACCTGCTCGTCGTCCCGCCCCCGCTCAGGGCGTGGTCCCTTTCACTACACAGTTCCACCCGCACTTCACGGCCCGCCGTCGCCGGCGCGCGATACCGCGTCAGAGCGGCCTCATATCCTCTGGTAGCTCAGTTGGTAGAGCGGTGGACTGTAGAGCACTCACAGGCATCCATAGGTCGCTGGTTCAAATCCGGCCCGGAGGACGTTTTGGCCCAGTCGCTGGTCTATTTTATTCTTATACACGATACTGGACTGGAATGGACTTTAAATTGCACCCAACCACTGAACACCTAGCAGACACTAACAAAACATCACACTAGTGTGCAATTGGACACCGTGCCGGCGTAAGCCAAGCCACCGAACTGGTGTGAAACAAGACACCGGAATGACATGAAATAAGAGACCGGACTGACATGAAACAAGAGACAGGACTGACATGAAACAATACACCGGGCCGGCGAGAAACAAACATCGGACTGGTGGGTAACCAATAACTAGACACCTGACTGGTATGAAACAACTTAACATCGAAATGTACCGTGGAGTACCGTGCCGGGCACAGCTTCACTGAAAAAAAAAATGGATGAAGCCTGAGCCATTGCCGGTTTATTTGGATTTTCGAGCGTTCCGAATGCGAATGTCATTTGCACTCATACAATCTAAGCGACAGCAATTTCAGGATCTGACCAGCAGTTGCTCCCCAAAACGTCCTCCGGGCCGGATTTGAACCAGCGACCTATGGATGCCTGCGAGTTCATCTACAGTCCACCGCTCTACCAACTGAGCTACCAGAGGATGTTGAACATTTTGCCGCCGTGCTGGCCTGTCTGTGGCCCCGCCCC